TGCTCATCTGTCATCTGCTGGGAACGTGGCTCCTGGCAAGGTCAAAAACTACACGCAAGCACTGAGGATACACCGGTCCGTTGCAAAAACAGAGAAAACAATTCTGTATATTTATATATATTATATACACAGAGAGAGAGAGAAGACGGCAATGCTCCGACCAAAGTTTTGAGACAGATCTCTAAATGAAGAGGGTCCTCAATTTCTGCAGATTCTGGAACATCCTGCTTCTCGACTTCTGCCGTGGCCTCCTGGCATTTCCATTTGTGAACAAGGCACCCACCGCCATCTTCAAAAATCAATTCTATATATATATATGTGTGTATGTGTATAAATATATGTCTAGCGACTATATATACCCAGACTCCCGGCATTCTAAGTGAAAGCTCACAAATAAACACACAGTGAGGTCCACACAAATTTCCTTCCTCTATATAAGTAGAATTTCCCCTAGATGCGGAGGTCCTGGAAATGGGAGTCTTCTGGCTGCTCATAGGTTTCCTGCTGGGCTCCTGGCTCCTGACAAGGTCAGAAGACACGCGGAAACTCTGAGAATGTATATGTGTATGTATATATATATATTATGTGTGTGTACTAAATTTCGGTGGAGAAGACACGCGCAAGCTCTGAAGGAAGGAATCCGACACATCCTGCTTCACACGGCATCCCCCAAAAGGTTGTTACTCATGGCATTCTAAGTTAGAAGCACGTCTTGCAATGCTTTGCGTGGTCCAGTATAGCTTGTACCGCATACGCAGCTCAATGATAATCATGATGTTGGTAGTGGGCATTATGTTGATAAGGTTGTTTCCATAATTTCTGTTTATCCTCCTATAAATGCCCTTATATAAGGCTCTAGTTACTCTAGTTAGTTCCCTGGTTACCATCATTCCCACGCCGCACAAAAACATGAAACGGGCTCATCTCAAGCGCGCAGCTTCCACCTCCAAACTGAGACTCGCGTGCTCCTCTCCTCGCATGCTCCTCTCCTCGCGCGCTCCTCTCCTCTCCTCTCCTCTCCTCTCCTCTCCTCTCCTCTCCTCTCTTCTCCTCCCTTCTCCTCACTCCTCGTCATACATCCTCTGCAGGATTGCGACAAGGGTTCAAGCATGCGGAATGTCTTAGGATTCTCAGTTCTTGTAGTGCCACTGCAATCGGGTGATGTCCTTCAATTCGACATCCAAAGTCACAACCAACCAGTCGAGGGTGTTTCTTTGTGTCCTGGTTAGATTCTAGGAGGTTCTCTGCATCTATTCCCAAAACGGGAGTGCACCTGAAATGGGGATCGAACACTCCTAGACTGTATAGACAAACACGGGCTCATACGTGGTGTAAGCTTGTTTGTGTCCACGGTCATATACACTTAGAATGCCTACTTCGAATGCCTGCACAACCTCACGAGAAACATACATGTATATATATATATACAAAAGCATTTGTAGATATATGTATTTATTTATATAAGATACATACATACCTTGCAATCCTCAGCTCATCACATCAAATGCCTCTAAACCTTGATGATGTCATCCGATTATTCTTGTAAATTCACGCTTATATAAATTCCCCCAAAGCCATCAACAATCATAAATCTTCCCACAGTTCCTTTTAAGACCCACATTAAGTTGCACATGTCCAAGAATTGTCATGAAAATCATTAAGTTTCCCAAAGTTCCTTTAAATCATGAACGTTCCGAAATTCATTATATATATACAACCGATTATATAACGTTCCAAATTGTCCTTTGATTTAACTAACTTTCCCAAATGTCCTTTTAAATCAGACGTATGCGGGAACAAGAAAGCAAACATATTGATTGCCTTATAGCTATAGTTAAGATATGTTAAGATGCAGGTACAGCACA